CGCGCTGCTCTGGGTTTGCGTTTTACAGCCAACGGCCACATGGCGCTCCTGCTCCTGACATCCGCCTGTACACTGCTGCTGGCTCTGGCACGTTAAGCAGGAGCCTTCAAGGTCTGTACAACGGTCCAGATTTCAGAAAAGGTTCACCCTTTGCTTGTATCAGTACCTTCCGTGCTTGCTGCCTGGAGAATTCTCAAAAGCAAGTGACCCGCGCAGCTCTGGTGTTGCTGAGACTCTGGGGGGCCAGCAGCATATCTCAGAAGGTTGATCCTCACACGGGAGATCAGGAAAAAACTCTCAATCCTCTAGGAGTCACAGCGGCTACCTGGCAACCAACACGTCAGCTGAGCAGCAAGGAATAGCAGGCAGTGTCTTGGTCGGCCCCTCGGACCAATCGCATAATCAACGGGTCATGCATGTGACATGACGAAAGCTCCAAACACGGAGCTGACAAGAAGTATCTCGCAGAGGCTGCTGCGATCTTGGATGTCTGTCGGCCGCAGATGCGGAGCTCCATATTTGGTCACGACCTCCTAGGAAACAAGGAACTCTGCAAAGGCCACATGATGACTCGCCATGCCCCACCAACCTGCACAGCCTGTCCCAGTTTGTCCGCATCTCCAAACTTGGAGAAGACTTGCCTGCCAGTTTCTTGCCTAGTCTTCAAGGCCAGCATGGAATGCCGGACAAGTTCTGAAATTCCAGAACGTTACAGGTACTACAATCTGGTCAAGCAAGCCAAAAGCAAACAGATTATTGCTATGACTTGAGCTAAGACAGCTTCTCCGCTCTGCATGGTGTCAAGAGGGTACGGCAGCAAGAGACCTCAAATACTTCCTCAAATATCCTCAAATCATCCTGAGCGCAGCATCTCCCCCAGGTCTATTGTCTGACAAGAGTTGCAGCTTGGCCCGGCTTAGCTTGCCCCGACTTTACAACTACTCAGGCAGTATCGCTGCTTCTGGTCGTCCCCATCTTGGCTTTTATGTTTGCTCTGCAGGCCGCTTCATGGCTTGGAGAATGGTACAACTAACGCTGTCTTCCTTCTTACTGCAAAATCATTTCCAGGCACTCGTCCACTCACAACAGGTATCCCCGCGCAGCAGTGGCCAAGAGGCTTAACCTTTGAAGAAAACGACTTCAATATGAGACGTAGATTCTAGATCTTTAGAAACAAACGAAATCAGATCGCGGAAGTGGCAGCTTCAACCTGGGACAAAACGGCTCTTCTGCCACACCTTGTTCCGCTTCATCCGTCGGCTTGCGTGGTGGCATCCAGGAAACCTAATGCCTATATTCTACACTTTCTATTAAGAAGCTCCTGAACTTCTGAACACCGCGAAACTTGACGGCTTGGTCGGTACGCGCGATGCGAACTCAGACATGCTCACGTGGACAAGCCTTGCCGTTGTGACCTTGGCAAAGACTGGGCAAGAAGACTTGGGCATCGTCAGTGTTGCACTGTGTTTCGGACTGCATCCAGCCCACATCGCTTCTCACAGCGCGATAGGAAGGACTCATCACCTGCACATTATGCAGTCGCACTTGACTACCGCTAAATCGCCAAACGGCAACTCGCAAGAACCTAGCAGGACTCAGGAGCTGGCTCATCAAGGCCGTAAGTGCTGACGCTTCTGCTTCGCGCATTGGAGCATCGAAGACAATCTGGGGAGGCACTGAAATCTCTGAAGCTGGCGCTACTTGCTAGCAGGTCTCATTTCCACCGCCTCCTCTTCCTCCGGCAGATCCTCTGCAATTTCGGAGAAGTCCCTGGCACTTCACGGTGCTGGGAGAGACTAGAAGCTTGCACACAAGAGCCACCTCAAAAATCCTGCAGGTTGATGCTTACGAATTCTTCCCCGGTTTATTATCAAGATCAGGGTGTCCATCATGTTCACGATGACGTGGGTGGCAGTAACGCTCATTGTACGACCCCAACTATTGCCCCGAAACTGACGCCCTACAGGTAGCATCAGGTAGCTTGACAAAAATTCAAGGGTAGATAACTTCTTGGCAGTGAGGTGGCGCCTGGCTTCCTCTCCGCCGGCAGCCATGGCTTGCCCAGTGAACTCTAAATTGTGCACTTATTGAACTCTGCTTTCTACAAGCTTTACTGGTTTGCTTCGGTGACCTCTCCTCTGACGGTTGCATGATCGGAGCTGAGGTTGGGAGGAGCCATGGAAGATGCCAAGAGCGCGAGGCTGAATATCTTTGCGAGGCAGGAAGCATAGGAAACATGATGGCCACCGGTATGCCGCCAATCGAGGGCTCGCCGCGTATGTATACCGTCGCCACCACCACCTCTGCTCAGTGGTCGGACTCATTGTTGGGACTTGTCCGGTCCGCAATTGCCTGAAACTGGACTGTGGCGTGGACGGCAGGGGTAGAGGCCTGTCTTGAGAACGTGACCAACGTGAACATCTGCAAGTTGCCTGCAGCCCTCTTGGCTCGCAGCCTCTGCAAGCTTGCTTTGCAAGGGGCTCGGCATAGTGCTCTCGCTGGACCTGCACACTTTTAGAAGATCTGTAAAGCATGGAATATCATGTGGAGTGCGCCTTCCATGCTGAACGGGCAGCTCCGGGGCATCAGCAGCCTAGTGACAGCAAGAAAGCCGGGCTCACTTCCTTGTTTGGTTAAGGCTTCGTGACTGTGCGGCAGGCCGCAGAGTCGGCTGTGGCATGCTTGGACCGAGGAAGCCCACACCGGCTGCATCTCTCCTTGCAAATATGCGAAACAGCTACTCAATAGACAGCACCGCTTAGAAGGCGAGCCATCCTCAGCTGTGACGCTCTGTGCCGCGGAGGGCTCCTGTCCACGACAACAAACATTGAAGTTAGCTGCGAAGCTGCAAAGCTGCGAAGCTGCAGAGACCGCAACCAGAGACGCACCTTGAAGTCGACACAGGGGCCTGCGCCTGCTGGGCCTGCGGCATGTGCCTCCGGGCACAACAGGCTAGAGCCGCGCTTCAAAGCCCCTTCAGGGCCGTAGTGCAGCGCCTCGCTTCGAGTCTGGGGGGGAGCGCAGCGAAGTTCTTTCCAATCTCCATCAAACCTAAACTGAAAACATGCACATAACTCCAAGGATGTAGGCCAGTGGTTTCAGCTAGGCGCTTGATGCCACGTGGGTCTTTCGGAGAGTAGACAGTCGCCCGAACCTGGGTCTTTGCATCGTGCTTCTGATTCCAGGAGACAAGCCGCAAGAAAGCCATGCTCTCGGCTCTGGCAGAAACTGCTGCACCAGGCGGCAAGCCGGGCAGCAGCACTGCCGTCTGACAAGAGACCATCACGCTTTCAAACAGATATGCATTGCAAATTAACAAACAAAAATGACCCTACAGTACTTCGAAAATCCCCACCGTTGCATTTTCGTAGTTGCGGGGCGTCATCAACTACTTCCAGCAACAATATGGAGCATGCTTGGGCATTGCGGGGATACTCTGCATTTGGACACTGCGGGTATATCCTGCGTCGGGCACTACAAGGATACTTTGGGGCTGGCGTGACTTGGCAGTTGGATACTCTGCAGTTGAGCATTGCACGGAGGGCGAGGAGAACGTAGACTTCTTAAAAGCTAACGACCCCACTGCGAGGGTGGGACCAAAAAATCTGCTGGCAAAATCCAACACGCAAGGACCACTCCAAGCCTGCTTGCGTGATTGGATTTCTGGTGCCCGTGCACGTGCCCTTTGGCAAAACTGATGATTTTAGAAACAGGTCTGCGGGGCTGTTGCAAACACGGCAGGCCCTTTTCAGGCATGCAACAACACAAAACAATCCTTGAGACTTGTTTCGCCAGCCTGCCCGAGCTTGACATCTTGCTTGCCACTGCCACCACCTGCCAGCCACGTCACTCCGTAGCTATAATTCGCCAGAGCTGCGAGGACCCATCTCACGCGCGAGTACTCGTCCAAATGGGTGGCATGGTATTGCACCAGCCTTGTACTTGCCAGTCCACTGCATAGCGCGTTGCCTGGCCACAGCTCTAGGAGCTATGTGCGGGTAGCTCACCATCCTCTGACTGCACAGCTGGAAAGCAGAGCCTCGTGGGCTGGCAGGCCTGGCCATGAGAGCAGCAAAGCCTCCTCAAAGGCCTTGCACTGCATTCCAACAGCTGTGCGGGAAGCACTGAACAAGCTACCCACATCAGCCCATCCTGCTGCAAGCTGAGATCGGCCCAACATGGCACTAAGCGCCTTGCGTGTTCTGAGGTCATGACAGTTGGAGGCGTTGCTACGATGTCTCATGCAACACGGAAGTCCAGGCGTCCCGGCGTGCCACCCAGACCCCGCACAAGGACCTGTCGGGGTCGACCCACTTCATAGCTGGCTAAGCGACTGACCACCATCGCACAACCAACTCATGGGCAAACCGTCCTCTTTGCTTTTGGCGATGCTGACAACTTGCGCCCAGTCTTCTGCTTTAAGCAGGCTAGACTGGCCACTGGCCAAACCACCGTTCAACCACGTCTGCATTTGCAAGCACTGCGTGGAAATATCGGCCATCCATACTGCGCGCAGGTGCGACCACGGAGCATTATCGAGAGCTTAACACACGCACTTGTAGCAAAATGTAAAGGCATCAAGTCTTGCCCGGCAAGATAACGTTCAAAGTAGTCTGGCTGTAACTGACCATACGTAAATCCACAGTTACGAGCTAACCATGGGAAACGGTACTATGACAATCCAGCTTTTGCTGGCTCTAGCTTTGTGAAACTCGGGGCATGTCCGGCTTTTTGGCATGCCATCTTCACAAAATTGACAAGTCCTGCCTGGCAGCCAAAGGCTTGCCGTGTTTTCGACGATGTCAAAGGACAGTTATTCTTCGAGATCCCACCCATTGAGCAGGCTACATACGGCTCAGGAGGGTATATACATTTGAGCATTGTTGAGCGTGCTGATGCAATAAAAAAAGTAGCTGGCTGCATGGGGCCTACTGTTCCTGAGCCTGCACAATTTGAAAACAAACAGCCCAGCTTCGCTGAAGCTGAATCAGTCGTTGCGATCAGACTGCCTGCAGCTCCAAACTCGAAAAGTGTCTTAAGCAAGTAAGACACATAACTAAGAGTGTGAGTGGCCTTGGACACTGCTAACTGCTGCATCTCCCCCGTGTCGGCATCGTTGAAAACATCTTCTGCGGCCTTTGCACAAGAGCACCCAAATGAGCAGCGAGCAGCTAAGTCTCCGATAGTCTGCTGATGGAGCACCTCCTGCACGTTGATGTTTGTCAGCATCGTGTCTTCCCGAAGTACGTCGCTCAAGTCCTTGGGCCTGGCCAGACAGAGACACTGTGAGACTTTAAACCTAGCTGCTGTGGAAAAATCCGCCCGCTCAAACTGGCAGGATTGCTCAATTGCATTCAACTTCTTGCAGAAGCGGATGGCATACCTGGACACCATGAACCATCAACTTTGCAGCATGGTGGTGTCAGTTCCAGCCCTCTGCCAAGCATGCAGGGGTCACATGTTGCAGAAACTCCAGGGCCTTAGGTCCGAGCGCTGCTTGCGAACATCTGCAAGTGTGCTTCATGTGCGGGCTTCTGATTTTTGCCCAGCCCGCTGCATTCCTTGAACTTTGCCAGTCATCCCGCGAGGCCGGTTTCCGGGGGGCATTTTGATTTATGGCTAAGGCGCCGTGATCACTTGCCCAGCTCCCTCTCAGGACACCTCCAACTGAGGCTGGGGTGTTTGAACAAATTGCCTGCAAAGAGCATTGCGGTCCAGCCATTCCCGCAACCAAAAATTAGGATTCTTTTGACCAGGGCGCAAAATCCGCCGAGGCCCTAAGCTGGGTGCTTGCACCTCCTCACCCTCCCTCCCTCCCTCCCCCCCTCCCTCCCTGGTCTGTTTGCCGAAAAATCAGAAACGCCTGTATCACGATGTGCGTTTAAACTTCAGTATTGCTAGGTTTCCAGAAGTGGGTACGCTTCCCAAGATTTCCTGGTTGTAGTAGCCGCTGGCTTTTGCAGGATACTTTTGATGGAAAGGAATACGAAGACTACAGCCGTCCGGAAGGTGCGTCAGAAGTGCTTCGGGGTCCCCTGCTTACGTGCCAGAACTTGTGAAATGGCGACAATGCAGAATGACACGGTCACAAATCATGTCACAACTGCGCCAAAATCTTGAAGCCTTCCATTCTTGTGATCTGTTACAAACAAGGACAAATTATGTGCGGCTTCTGATTCTAAATGCCGAACAATTCCTAATGTAGATCAATTTTTGTTTGGTTCTGCAGACGCCGCGCTGGAAGCCGAGCGTTTTGCGCGTGGCCGTGGAGGAAATTCACGGAGAGTGTGGGGTCAGGACGTCCAACCCCTCAAAACTCTTGGATGCCGCTGCAGCTCAGCAGGAAGGGCTTGGGACTGGAAAATGGACGTGTAGTGTACCAAAGCGCAGAAAGGGCGCTGGGGGTGGCCATTTTCTACCCCCTCTACCCAGGCACACAGCGCAAAAATGGCAAGACTTGCAATTGCACTACTCAACGTTCATCTCTTAAACAAAGACAAAAAATTGTTTCCTAATAGCTGACTGCACTCCATCAGCCATATCATCCAAGCTGCAAACGGCTCAGGATTGAAATTCCAAACCCAACAGCAGCTGAGTGGCTATCACGAACGACTGCTTTCAAAGCTCTGCAGCCAATGCCCGTTGGCTTCAGAGGTTCCAAAAAATCAAGTTTGTACCTTTCTCTTTCTAACTTGTGCTGCGCACTACTGGGCTAGTACTGCTGGGTTCAATGATTTCGAGTATTTGACACTGCGCTTCAGTACCTGCAAGAATCTCACGTGGCAATCAGCAGGTTTCCCTGCCCAACTCACACCTGACTTGACCGCCCCATCCGCAAGAAATTGTGAGGACCCTGTAGATATAGAAAGCAGCGGCTCTATATGTGATACCTCGGGGAGGGATGAAGTTGGTCAACAGGAGCTCAGGGAGGTGGCAGCAGCATTTCGCACATATTGCCTAAGCTGGAACTGCCATAGCTTATTCTCTTGAGAACAGAATGCTTGCAAAATGATGCTAGTGCAGACTTTGCAATGCAAAAAAAAACACGTTGATGGGAATACTTAGACTTAACTTGCGGGCAGACCAGCCCAAGAAATGCGCAGTAGGAAATTGGAACAGCTCAGCTATCGCGCCTGGAATTTGTAATTATCGGAAGGGGTAGGGTCATCGTACATCAGTGAGGCTATGTCAGGCCGGAGGCTGCTTGGTGTTCCAGGCTAGCACACAAACAAAAAAGCACGGCAAATCACAGCACGATCGCTTGGATGCCAACACGTGATGTCGGCACATCTCTTTGGCAAAGACGTCGTTACTGGCGCATGAGGTCACATCAACGTCAGCTAAGCTTCTTCACCAGCGTAGAAATGGCCTGATGGCGATGAGCTCACCGGGCGAGAGCCTTGAAACATTTGAACGCTGGTGAACCAGGCACAACACTGTGCCAATAGTTTGAGGGCCCGACACTCTGCAGTCGCCCATGTGCCGCCATGATACCCACAACGCCGCTTCTACAAACCAGTCCTGCAAACGCAAATCTGTCCATTTGCAACTATGACTACAAGGCACATGCGGCACGCTGAAGACAAGCATGCCGCCGGCACTACATGCCCCAACTAACTCCAAATGCTCCTTCTGCTGCAATGGTGGGTCCAGCACCTCCCGACCCAGCCTCATATACCTAGCGAGATCCACATTGACAAAATGTACACACGGCTTTTGAGCTTGAATCACATGCAGCAGGCAGTGAAGCGCACTCCAGCTCACCGTGCTTCACAAAGAGCATTTGCTTGCCTTCATGACCTGAGGCTACCCCCAATATCAAGGCCCTGCTGGTCTTCAATGATGCAAATCGATGGGGCCTGCAGTGAAGACCACGTCGGATGATGCAAGCGCGATTTCCGTCAGAGCTAGATGGCACAGCCTGTGCATGATGACCTGGCCAGCTTAAAGTGAAGGAGGCGGCCAAACTCTTGCGATATCAACGAGCAGATGAAAACTCGACAGCGAAACCGGCATCTTTGAACTCAAAGCTTCGAAAAAGGAATGCGACATCAGCCACTGTATCATAATTTCATACCTCAAGCTTCAGTAGCATGCATGGCACAAAAATCCACTGAGTGATCAGCAACAGGCAACCATGAGGTCGCTTTGCTGAACCCAAGCACCGTGCGAGAGTTCTTTGCGGAGCGGCTCAGAGAGCTGCTCCAAAATTACCACGCTGCCTGAGCCACGCAAACCCGTAAAGCAGAAGTTAACAATAACAGCGTGCAGCATTTGTCTAAGTAGTTGGCTGCTATGCACTAGGTCGTGCTCCTTCTGCGTCTGACAGGGCAGCAGGCATGCTATCCTATGGATACATCCAAGAGTCTAAACAGTTTCTGAAGGGACAGACCTGAACCAGGGCAGGTCCGGCACATATATGAAGACATTTGTGATGCTGAATGCTTTGCAGCAAGGCCCTGTAAGCACATATTCAAGGGAGACGTTGGTGCGGAGCCAAGCTCACCGAATGGGATTGAAAGTAATTTCAAGAGTGACAAAAAATTACGCCTAACTCCTTGTCTGTAGCTCTGACTACCTCGAAGAGTCATGAGAGCATGACGACAAAATTAGATGCAATTTACTGTGTAAGTCGACACTTTCCTCACTGTCTGAAGCAGAACATTGCCCGACCGAAATTCAAGCAGCAAGCAACTCAGGAGACTTGGAAACACGGGATTTATCATTCTTGGACAATGCTCAAAGACATGTAGCATCTAACGCTAAATCAGCATGTACGGACACGGCTACCACAAAACCTGCCCAGCATGTCGCGGCATGTTGCAAAGTAGTCAAATCTCCTCCAGCCCCTTCACCCGTGCCTTGTACTCAAGGAATTTGGTAATTCTCAGCTGCCTTGTTCACGTGATTTCACACAGAGCAGTTTTTTTCTTCAGGACGACAGCTAGGCGCGAAACAAGTCTCGTCGAATGCTGCGCTGCTTCAGATAGCGGCGAAGCATCCAGAATTGTTTCATCTGGGCCCCCTGCAAGCAGGCAGCGTGCTAACGCAGCCCTTCATTGGCTGAGACACCGGGATCCAGGCCCGCAGGTTCTGCAAATGAGACATGGAAGCCTGAATTCAACACTAAATATACCTTTCCAGACATACCGCATGCGGCTCACATGAGGCGAGGATAAGGTCCGTGCAGTGATGTGTCCGACAATCGACGAAAAAGCTACCTGCGTGTAAGCGAGGAGAACTGGTACAGCGCGACTGATCGCAGCTGTCTAAGCACCCTGCCATGGCAAAGAAAAGCACGCAGATTGACATGATCCGCTCCATGGTGTTGGCTGCAGAAACATTCATCCTGACATCCCACAAAAGGATCATTGAAACTCCTGACATCCCTGGAAATCAGCTGCTGGGCTGCGCACGAAGCAGGCGTGAACTGCGTAAGGCTCCTTACAATCGACTTCAAAAGTTCGTCACAAGAACAAGCTGACTTACCGGCAGTGACGTAGCTTCAGCCGGAGCCCGCTGATGTCAATTGCTTGAGCGAAGCAAAGCACTATGCTTGTCTCTGTTTTAGTGTTCAGGTTCATCATTGATCCCTCTGGGCGCAAGGTAGGTGCCGGTATGGGTACTGATGTATCAGCTAGGCCCCAGCGCAAAGACCACAAGCTGGACTTTGATTGTGTTGTTATGTGCTTGCCAGAGCATTGCCCTTTCAAGTCTGAAGTGGAATGAACAACCCCGCGTCGATTGTCGTCGGGCCCTTGACATGAACATGCGCTGCAACCGCGGCACGAATGTCTCCCAACAGGCAAGGCTGTGCATGCAGAAAAGTGTTTCCATCAACTTTGCCGTGTTGGGCGATCACGCAGCTGCCATTTGGCAAATTGTTTTTGGCAGGGAACCTTTTCAGGTACTGCTGCAGTATGCAATCTGAAAGTCCTTTTTATCATACTTCTTCATAGCGGTTCTTCATAGCGGATGTCTTCAGAAAATGTAACAAGTTTTCTATCTGTACGATCTAGTCTTAGTACAATGAAATGTATTGCACCCCTCATTGCTGTTGCACTTCTTGCGCATGACTACTACACAAGCCTGGCCACCCCTTGCCCGGCAGCCCGCCATGCAAAGCAAATGTTGACCGCCAACAGTGGTTGGGCCTGCAAGGTAGGAATGGTTCCCTTCCACCGCAGCGGCACACATAAACAACACTATCAACACTGGCAGCGGTATTGATTAGATTTAACCGCCCCCTGCGTAAAAGGCAGCTGAGCCATGTGGCGGTTCTTTCCAGTGCGTCGAGGCTTCCACAGTAAGAACAAAGGAGCAGGCTGAAGAGGACGCCTCGACGCATAACCGAATTGGGGAAGCATCAAGTAGCAATCTGAAAGATCTTTGACAAACTGAGCAAGTTTATGTATGCATTTTGCGACAGTTGAGGGTGCGCTTCCAAATAGGTGGAGAGGGACGAAAGAGGGCTTGGAATTGCTACGGTATGTTCTACCACCCTTGGAGAGCACGAAGAGCCTTGTAGAAAGCGGAAAGTTGAAGCTAGGATAAAGAGGAAATGCAAAAGTGGAGCCGCGGATGACAAGAACAGACTTCCCGCAAAACCAGAAAAGCAAGATCCATTGCGGGTCGCAGGCCCGCAGAGAACCCAGTCAGCTCATTCGCGTCCAGTGTCCACTTACACATTCACCAAGACCAGCCTTTCCTCGGGGCCTTCGAACGAAAACGCTCATCAAACATGGACGTCATGTGCCACACTGCAGTTGTCCCATGGGCTAGGACAACGGTGATGGTGGGCTCAAGGCGCATGTAGTCTTCTGACAGTTATGCAAGTCTGGCACTGAGTTGACTGAGCGATTGGTCGGCAATCACAGAGCTTTGTTGGCACCCGCTTGTACTTTGCCATGTGAAACAAGGAACTGTTTTCCTTGTTGTCCAGCTCAGTGTTGCAATGGAACAGAATGCAGAGATTTTTGCTCAGCAAGTACAAGCATCCTGACTTGCACAGGGAGCGGTACTTCATATCCCTACCTTCTATCTGATCTATCCTGGAATCCTCAATCAATGTTCGTAGTCACTATGCTAACAGCACTCAGTGGTCGCGTTACAAGATGTCTGGTGGAAAATGTTGATTCAGGCAGTCTCCAATCCAACCAGGTGACTCCCGGCATCTACGTGATACAGAGATTGAAGTAAACGCGTGCAACTGAGACCAGGACCAATGGAGAGAAGTGAAATACATGTAGACACTGTCATCTGGGTAATGCCCACCTGGACTGCATGGCATTCAGCTACTCGCAGTCTTGCGAGCCCATCCGAGCTGCCCACTCATCTCGAACCACGTATAGAGCCCCATGCTCGCAGCACTCTTCCCTACAAGATACCTCCATACAAGAGCGAACGTGTCTTATGGACTTCTGCTGCTAGGGCGGCAATCGTGGCGCACCACACGCAGGCGATGACGTGATTCAAGACCTGCGTGACAGCCCCCGTGGACATCCGATCTTCTGCGACCGCACCTGTAAACTTATGTTACAGGCTTGTCATGGGGCTGCGACCAGAACCGCGAATAAGAGCTTCAGCAGATTGATAATGGTAAAGGCATACCTGCATGCGATTCCATGAAAGATACTTCCGCACGAACCCCCGGTTTTTATGCGGACAGAATGCTACAGTCCAATCCACAGCTTACCCCGCAGCAAAGCAACAGACCCATGTAAAGAGAGCACGAACCTGTATAAGTGTATAAGACATGTTTGCCACGCGCACTCACTCTCCACCAACTCCAGCATGGCATCTACAATTCGCCGCAGCTTGAAGAGCCGAAGCAACCGAAGGACTCCTCAGAAGCTCAGAAGATGGCAGCTGCATGCAGCTGCAAAGTAAACCTCGTAAGATCTCTCAGGCAACTGCGCATGGCTCGGCCAAGACGCAAGATGCGCCCAATGCCAACACCATCAAGGCCGAACTTAGGAATCAGCTACGTCAAGCAGTGCAATGCACCGCAACACATGTGAAGGGTCAGACAGCAATTCTCAAGGGGCCGGCTGCGTCAGGCGAAAAGGATGTGAACCACTCCGGCCTAGCGCATCTGGGCAAGATTCGACACTTTTAGAAGTCTCATGACCATGCCCGAGGTCCCCAAAACTTGCCGGCACACCCGACGACCACTAGATCCAGAATAAACCAGCTCTTCAGGTAGTGCTTCACAATCATCCTGCGCGGTGGCCAAAGCTTATTCGGAGAATCTGCAGAATCGCAGGCAGTCCTCGGGTCCATGACCTTCACCCCTTCGCTGAAGTAACCAGTGAAAAAGGATTGGAACATGTCAAGAGTCCTTGGTTGACGGGAACGGCAACCATGAGCAGCACCAAATTGTTCAGCCCACGCCGAAAACTGATCAAGCCACAGCACCGGCATGAGTATGAAAACAGTAAAGCCAGCCCGTAGTGCCGCTCATCGTCAGCCATGCGAGATGCAAGATCCTTCACTCATGGTTCCTCGGGGCCTTCTTGGACAGTAAGCACTGTCTGCAATGTGTACTTAACCCGAGCACTACATTCATAAAAGACCTTATTTAAAGAAATTTTTGTGGGTAGAATTAGGCTCCAGAGACTAGCTACAATTAGGTGGCTTTTCGTATTGGGAAAAGGGACTAGATTGAAAGAAATCTTTTGGGGAACCAATCCTGACAATAGAGATGTTCAATACATTCCTATTCATTTTTTAATTACTAGAGGTCCAAGAACCCCAATGGCGCAGGAATGCATTCCTTTTCTTTTTTAATTGAGTTCCAGGAGCCCCAATCATTCTTTTAATCTGGTGGCCTCCATTCCTTATTCTGGGGGCGGGCGGGGGCGCCCCCCCCCCCTCCCCCCAAATTAAGAATGAAGTGCTCGGATTATATATGAGCCCAGTTGGTGGCGTGGACAAGTTGACTTGCTGCATACATCAGCCTGACTCACTGAGAACACCAGCAAAACTCGAGAAAGAAGTCCATGCAGCAACACATTGACGTCGAGTGGTTGCAAATTCGAGGGAAAAGCGCCCGACGCCCGACTTGCAGTAGATGTTTGGCTTGACCCTGTCAGTCTGGTCTCACACAGAGGGGCAAGGGTGCTCTGGCGCAGCAAGGAGCAAAATATCCAAAAAATCTTGCATTCAAAGCAGACGGCTGTAAATGCCCAACGCCCAGCAAACAACACCAGGTGGGGCGAGGCCAGCAAGACATGGCTCAGAACAACCCAGAGGATGGGGAAGCTCATGGAAGCAAAGCCCTACTCAGGATTGAAGTGCCTCTGTCCTTTCCTGATATGGATCTGGGGTTTCTTGAATGCTCAGGATCACAAGGACTTCATCTTCTGGTCGGACGCCGTGCATGCGCGCATCTCTCTGCAGAAATTGCCAAGATTTTTCAGTGAATGAAAGCCAAGGAATCCCGAAGAACATGATTCGAGCCACAGATGGAAAAACATTTTTTGGCTGAGGGATAGTCAGAGAGTCTCCCTTCACGTGTCCAGGGCTTTCCGCACCAACTTCCACCCAGCCAGAAAGGGGAAACCCTGATTCCTGGTACAAGGACCTAGGGTGAAAAAAAAACTGACCCTGGGGATTTGCCGTTTTGTCTTACCCTCCTGCCGGGACGGGCCTTCTTTGCGGCGTCTCTGCCCCAAGGTGTTAGAGGAGCAGCTGCATGCAATGAAAACCAATTCTTCACAAAGAGGGTCAGCTGCTACGGAGCGGAAGCCGCTTTCACTGAGTGTCCCTCCTGTGCTGACAAACCTAAAGCTACTCTTAGGTCTTAGGGCCAGCGATAAGTCCATTTGACCTAACCACGAGAAAACGCGCAAAGACCCAGAAGCTGCGAAAGCAGCCCTATTCCTGATTGAGGCTTGGACCAGAAGAAGAGTGTCACCCAGTCCATGGTTATGGACCACTGATCTGCAAGAGAGGGCTGGCAAGAGCTGCCGAATGCAAATTAAGGGCTGCAGACCTTCTCCAAATACAGCGGAGGTTGGTATCTAACCGCGGAAAATGAGCTTGAGGACAAACCAATGCATGCCCCCCTCTTGGCAAAACTGGCCAAAATGAGAGACAAAAATCTGCTAATGTCACTCAGCATGCATGCTCTCGTGTCTTCACGGCCTCGTGCAATCTCGAAGACTTGTAGAGGGATGGTGACTGTGTCGTACAGGATGAGCAATAGTCCTACAAGATGTGCTCCATGCAAGCAACGATCTTCAAAATGCATATTCTTAGTGTTGTGGGTTGCCTTTGCTATGGGCATCTGCAAAACATCATGGGTTCGGCGACTCAAACCCAAAGCCTTCCCTCGCAAAGAACCAAGAAGGTTAGTTTCCAGCTACCGGCAGAACTGCAGCGTTTAAACACGTTCAACCGTTTCACTCCACAGGGTCCTATCAGGTCCCAGCACATCCTGTATGTACCACTGGGCGACACAATGCCTAAGCAAAGCTCGTGCTGCCACTGCAGTTGCAGTCTGCAAATGCAGGCGGCATGCTGAGCAAACGGCCTGGTCTGCACTGCCTGCTGGCCCTGACAAAAGCGTGCCTCCACCTCCCCTGTCAGCGTGGCAGAAATCAGAAAACTCATTGGCTCATTACTCATGTGCACAGGGAAGCACACCAGCTAACCCTTAGGAAGCCTCGCCGACACTTGCGAGATTCATCAGCTCGCCTGGCAGGCGTGGTGTTGGCTTCGAACGGGACTGAGAATGCTAACATGCCAGAGATACGCCGTGAGCCTCTGACAAGTCTCAACGGACTTTTTGGTGGGGACTTCTCGGTCTCCCTCCTGTGAAAACACAGCCTGTAGCATACAAGGTTGTTCCTCGTTTTGGATCTCCCATGCTCAGCACAAATGCTTGACAGTCCTGGCCCCCTTCATTGCAGCAAAGTAGTGCTGAAAACCGCTACCTGACTGAGAAGCCAATTGCATGTAACCAATCAACAAGGGATTCTGAGCTGAGATTGTTGCCGACATCGTTGTTTGTGTCTAAGTAATCAGTCCACACGGCCTGTGCCAAGTATTGACAGAATCAAAGGAGCGCAGGCTGCTACCTGCCTTCAGGTGGAAGCCCTCGTGCTCGCTGTCCACAGCCTCGAACGCACGCTCTCTTCCTAGGACAGTCCTTTCCAGAGATTCGTCAGGTCAGCAGGCAAAGCGGGCCTGCAAGAACGTGTCCGTTCTGCCCCGGCGGAATGCTGCAGGATCTCTGCTTGTCCTGTGGCTCAGGTTCACTGTAAGACATCAGGATCGCATCTCTGCGGGCCTCTGCCGAGATGCAGCCGAAAGGGCATCTGATATGTCCAACTCATTCAGGGACATGTGCCCCGGCGCCTGGCTCGCTAGAGTCTCCTCTGAGCAAGACGCGGGAAGAAAGCTAGCTCGCTGCGCCTTGCGCTGTTGGGGGCGAGATCTGTGAGATTCTGGCGAGCCGGTTCCTGTGCCTGCAAGTCAGATGGATTACATGCTAACTGACTGCGTTGAACTTGTGTCTTTAACTGCTCTTCGCTTGAGATATCAGATCTCCTCCAGCCGCGGATGGTGGCGGCACTGCCATCTCGAAAGACCAAAACTCCTGGAGAACTCTTTGCAGAATGGGTGCCTGTCTGCCCATGCTGACATCGAACACCAAGTCCTTTGGCACGGTTGGGTTATGCACGTCTTCGCTCGACGGACGCCTGAAAGGCAACCATCAGTGGAATACAGCGAATGCAAGGCCCGCTCGACATAAGGCTCCAACGTGTGAAGCTCACTGATCTCTTGGCGCATCTGCTGATTTGCCTGCGTTCGGATTTGTTGCTTGGTACGTATGTCTGAATGCAGGGACAGATGCGAATTCACTCAGTGTGAGTGTTGTCCTGCTGCAACTCGCTGATCCGGAGGCAATGCTCATGAAGGAGGTCATGCAGAAGCTCCTGGCAAGAGCCGAAAAACTTTCTTGAGATCACATAGAAGCGTGCTTCTGCAAGCCTGGAAGCGATCCGATGTGTCCAGCGACAAGTGTGAGGTGTTGGAGGTGTCGCTGAGCCTCTGTCTGCCTGGACCTGCCCCCATCAGAGGCTCAGGAGGCTTCGTACGTAGCTTAGGCTCAGTTTTGCCTTCTGCTATGGCATTTTGATCCTCATCTTCCATGAAATCAGAATGTGAAGGCTGCGCCTCACACCGTCAATCAGCAGCAAAAACTATAACTAGGAATGATGAGCGGCTGCTTCGATCTGAGCGCCATGCCCTTCACAGCCCCCGTCACTACCCAAAAGCGGGTACAGCACAAGTTGAAAAGCTGTTCTGAGCCCGAAACTGGTAAGCAGGCGCAAACCAAATTTTGCAAAGCAGCAAACAGCACACCACACTCTAACATTCAAACAATCACCGTGCTAGGGTGCTCCAAGAAAAAAGCTGGCATGCATGAGCTGGATGGACCCACTGGTTGGTGCCGGATGCCTCGGGTTGCAAAGTTCTGGCATAGGCTGTGCACCATGATACCATCTTCCCCGCCGTCTCGATCTTCATCCACTTGCCGGCCGGATAGCCCATCACTGTGGTGCTAGGCTTCAATGTAGCTACCTTCTCACAGTGATGCCAAGCTGTCATGGCATTCACGGATAACCATCGGGTCTTTAGGCCTCCTTCTCATCAACGGAGGGCTTCGACCGGATCGGAATGTCATTGTCACCCACCAACTTGAACGCGATTGGCCCTTGCAGAACAGACCTGCGACTTCATGCAGCTTCATGAAACTCGACGCTGCTCGACTCTGCAAACAAAGCGGTGCCTGATGTCGTTAAGCGCCTGCTCGACCAGTATCACTTGACTGGCCTAGCATGGTCACCATGCATGTTACGAGCGCTTGATGCTGCATGTCACTTCCTACAGCAGTTGGGTTCCGAGCTTCTGAAGATGGCTTCGTGCTGGTGCCTTTGGCAGAGGGTTCTGGCAAGGAACGCTCTCCACCCATGCCATTGCCTGGCTGCGTCTGAGCAGGCTCTTGCTTCGAGTCCTCGGTTTTCTTACAGAGAAAGGCAAAGTGCAGGCAGCCCCGCGCAATCGGCACAGTGCTTTCTGGGAAGCCTCCTTCGTTTCCTGCAATAGTTGGCCAAGCCTCAGCATTGGACCCAAATCCCGACTCAGGCAGCGTCACGAAGCTTATCCGTATCAAGGTTGCCGGCCCAACTTCAGCGCCGTGGATCAGGATCCATGCGTCCTGGAAGCTGTGAGCCCCCATGCAGGCGAGTCTCATGAACACAACAGATGTCCTATGCTAGTTCATTCAAGAACACTACCAAAATAATGGTAATGGTAAAGCTGACTAAAATTTGAACCATCCGGTAAGAAGAAGACTGGCGTGACACATACGTGAATCGCGTGTTGAAACTGTTGGCACAGGGAACTTGAACTCCCGCAGAATCTTGCAACCCCATTTTTGGCAAAAGCCTCTGAGAGCAAAAACAAGGGGGAAACAAGATTTCATCGCAAAGGTTCTCAGCACGTGTTTTGTCAAGCAGCTCTCCGTACTCGAGGAGGCGTTTGTCGGCTTGCAGCGTCCAATGGCACTATAGGACCCCGAACTATTCTTGTGAAAATGAAGAAGTCTGTGTCCCCATTACAAGTCCGCTGGTACTTTCAATATTATTCTGGTCACCCATGTCCAGTCTCATTGAACTGGTGATGTCAAGTTGTGTGCTGTCATTGGGATGAAAATTGATGGCAGTAGAACAAGATATAACAGTAGTAGTACAAGTAGTAGTAACAATAATAAAAATAATAGTAATAGTATTGGTAATCGTAGCAGTAATAGTAATAATGATAACTCTAATAATGATAATAGTAATGGTAGTTTCAATAGTGATAATAGTAGTAGTAGTAGTAGTAGCAGCAGTAGTACCCTACGCGCCTTTAATCGATCGTGGGTCCAAATGCATATTGAGGGGGTTGGAGGGTGGTGGGGGGTGGATGGGGGGGTGGGAGGGTAATTACATTCGCTTTATTTTGATTTCACTGGCCACGTCTCATCATGCTAGAGGAGGAGCCCTGCTTAGAGACATGGCCGCCTGGCGACAGCGATGCGCTCAATGCGCTCTTGAGGCAGCGCAGGCTTCTGTGGAGACTGAGAACACTTTGCCGGCGAATCGCCCTAACTGTAAAGAATTCAAGTGGGGAAACGGCCGTGCGTGCACACCGCACTGCTAAAACAGCGGCAAGATCCTCGGCTTTCCATGGTTCCTAATTTTGTCTATCCAAAAAGGTTAAGGTCAGTTTAATAGTAAAGTCCCGTTTACAGACTGCAAAGAGTTCCCCGTACGGCCCTTAGAACCTTCTAATTTTTCAGCATGGACTTTTGGCCGAAGAATGTCGGCGAAGTGTTCTTGGCATGCAATGGCTAGCGCAGAATGAACCAGACAGGGCAGCGCTCTTGTTGGGGCAGGAAGCTCTTCGACATGTCCCTCTTTCAAACCTTGCCTGTGGTCATCAAGGAGAAGTACCACAGCCACTTAGGTTGTCACTCCAGCGAAACAGACGCAGATGATGGCAAAAAAGTCTGGCTCTCTTGTGCTGCAGATGCGGTTCTCATCAGGGACAGCTGCGCGTAAAAACGGCCAAAACTAGATACTAGTTTTTACGCCTTTCCATGAACCCCTTAACGCTTCACGCGAGCAGTCCGGACATTCTAGAAGCGCACGAAGTCCTGTAATTTATAGCATTTCCAAACCTCTTGAAAAATTCTACTCTAACTTTCAAGGCCACAAAAGACCGATCCATTATCATCCTGATAAATCAACCCACAAATAGTTTCCCGGACTTTTTGACCCTCAACTTTGCACAACATCAGCAAGTCAATGCCCACGAAGTACTGTAAAACACAGTACTTTTGCAACTTTTCGCAAAACTGTGCAAGCCTAAAAACACTGCAATCAATTAGCATCGCGACGCCTAGTAGTAGTAGTAGTAGTAGTAGTAGTAGTGGTAATCGTAGTAATAGTAGTAGTAGTAGTAGTAGGAGGCGGAAGAGGAGGCCCCGCCACATCAGAACCCCTGTGAATTCTCACAGCCCCAGCATAATAACGTCCATGTTCATGCGCATCCCGTTTTCACAGTTTCAAACAAAATGATGTCCCTCTTCGCGAGCGTCGAATTTTCAGCGCATCTATGCCGGCTACGTCCAAACCGAACCATAAGAAAAGCCGGTCTGCGATCCTTTGTTGCTATAGAGATTGCCTTGAAGCTCTACTCCAAAGAGTGGATGCTCAGCATCCCTGAAAATGTTCTTTGACAGGCGCCTCTGTTCGAGTCGTCTGGTGACTGCGAACACGCATCATCTGTTGCGTGATGTCGGTTGTAGATTGAAGCTGAGCTATGGGGATGGATGCTTGAGTGCACGCAGGATGGGCAGTATAGTGCTTTGGGCGTGGTGGGTGCTCCGAAAATCAGATGTCCTCGAACATGGATGTCATCACGCCTTGCCTTCACGATGCGCGTGATTAATTATGCTTTGGCACAGATATTCTGAATTTTAGATGCTCGTGAAAATGAAAAGCATTACGCTCTGGACATGAGCTGAGGAATGTCTGGTGAAGTACCTCGGATCTGAGGAAAAGTAATTAGCGGCCTTGTCCAGCTGCTAACATCTGTTCTGCTGGTCACATGATGGCGGAGCGGCATCAGCACTGGTTGATGGTTGGCGTTGCAGCCGGTATGGACATGTCGCTTGCCGGCCCCTTGACCGTGTCAATTTTTGTTCACGCCCTGCGACACAAAGTTGAAGAGGGGAGAAGGCGATAGCGCACAGCGTTCAAGCAGTCTTGTCAGCATGATCTTATACACTCGCCAACTGGTGAGGCTCTATGTCAAGAGACGCCATCACCGCGTGTGCCTGTCTAGTGGCGTCCCACACTAGGTCACACCCAGCTGTGGTAAACGGCCTGAGCCTGATACCCCAAAGTAATAAACACTACAAGGCGTGGTGATTCGCGGAGTTGGTGTCGGAGTCCTGTTTTGAATAAGAACAGCGTTGAGACAATCAAGTAAAGTGAGTCAGGCTTAGCATTCCTCAGGTAGTTGTTCGTCTTTTGTAGCTGCTGGTTTGGTTTGTAGTGTTGTGGTGTTGAGTGCTTTGGGGCCTTGCCTTTTGACAGCTGCAGCTCACAACCTCCAGCCACTTCACCTACTGTTTCCAAGTTGTACATAGGGTCTTTCTGTCAGAGCAAGGTGCCACAGATGCACGCTATGCGAGATTGGTCCACGGCATGATGACTAGCTGTAGTGGTAATTGGAATACGGCTCATGCGTGTAGGGTGCGTGACGGGGTTGACGAACCTGCGTCACTTTTCGGGTGGCGG